TTGAACGAACAAAAATTGATACCCAACATAGCAAATCTGAAAAAGCACGCAGTCTTAAACACTGAACAAAAAATTGAAGAAAACAAAAGCAGAACAACGCAAAGCAGAGTAGAGCAAAAGCAGAGCAGAGCAAAACGGAAAAAAAATTGAAAATTGAAGTGAAAATCGGAATACTCTGTGTTGTTGGAGATGGCGATCGGAAGAAAAGGATGGCAATCGGGAGTGAAGGATAGATGCGGAAGAAGAGGTAACCCTACCTCCATATTTCGCCAAATTCGCGGCCACCGTAAATCCACTGTTCAGAGGTAGCCCTACCTCCTTCTACCTTCCCTTACCTCTCTTCACCTATCCCAATTTTTGTTACCAAACAAGGTAGAATATTAAATCTACCTCCCCTACCTCCTCCTACCTCCAAACAAACACAGTGTTAGAGTTGCATGAAGTAGAAGTGTAGAACAATTGCCTCAAATTCATCAGGTGTCACACATTAATTGCATGCACACACTGTCACACACACACATGTGTGTGTGTAGGGTAACAATTGATACATTAAAGTTTTATTTTTTTATCTTTTGCTTGATTTATTGTGCATGCATGCTTAGTACAAAGCACATTAAATAATCAATGACTGTTGTCATCCCAATACTGTGATTGGAGATGGGCAATGACATTTTTATCCAACTGGAAGGATTTGCTGAGAAGATCACGAAGAATGGGAGGATCAGTGGCGAACACAGAATTGGCTGCAATGATGCCCACCGTGGTTTGGGTCCCCAGCGCAGCAAACAAAACGGTGGCTCCCCTTGAGGTTATACTGGAAGTGAACCAGACCCTTCGGGTAGACGAAGACGTCCCCCGGGTTAAGTGTCTTCGCAAATAGTTTGTTGTTCGAGTCCACGAACCCTGCGTAGACCGTGCCCTCCACCACAGCGATCACCTCACTCCCATAGGGGTGGGTTCGCCCCGTAAGGTCCGATATGATACGAGCTATTCCGAGCCCTAGCGTGTTTAGTCCCGGCAGTTTTTCCACGTTTACCGCCGATATCACAGACCCTAATATATATATGAATATTAGGAGAGGCAGAACTTTATAAGTTGTGCACAAGTAACAAAACAAAATGGGTTACAAATAATTGGCGTTCGTGATTCATTCATTCAAAACTAATTAATGACCCACACCTGAAGGATTTGGTGTGTTTCTTGGTACGTGAAGAAGGGCTTGGAGGTAGAAATCATCCGCTTTCACTTCCTTGGGATTCTTGCATATCTTTCCATTCACAAAAACTGTCAATAATATATGTGAATAATCAATAATGGTACAATTTCATTGTAATTTTCATATACTGAGTATATCACTTGAAAATTAACGATTAACCTAGGGGTACAATAACATGGGTACTCTATTTGTACACCAAGCTAACATAGATACAGACATACGCTTAATGTCTGTGCTGCACAGACATGATGTGTCTGCGTTAGCTTGGTGTACAAATGGGGTACGCATGTCAGTGTACCCCAAGCATTGTCCGAAAATTAAAGATGATGAAATTAAATGTGCAAAATTGTACCATTGGCCTTGGAGTCACCGATGGCCACACAGTAGTCGAGCAAATTGCTGGGATCTGATGCACCTGCAAATAATATAGAAGAAGAAGAAGAAGCTAAAGCTATTGCTGTAATGGCTGCCATGAGCTTAATACGGCACTCCATTTTTGGGAATAATTGATTATTATTATTATTATACTCCGTATTAGTTAAAGGGGAGGCGTAAATACATGGTGATTTCTTTTATGAACTTAATTCCTTCAATTCTAATTGTGAAAAATGGAGTGTGGCCATTTGTCTATTTATAGTTTCTCAAATTCTTAGGGTGAAAACTTTGGGTGGTACTATCGAACTCTATTACTAAACATACTTATTAAAAGAGTAATGTCAGAATTACAAACACTTTGGTCACAAACTATCAAACTTTCAATTTGTATATATAAATTTTTATTTTCTAATTATGTGACATATTTTGTTTAATTGTTGAGGTGCATAAATGACAAATTTGTATACTTTGTGACAAGTGTTTACAATTTTAGCATTTGTGCTATTGAAGATCGATATGAGGTGAACTTAGGGAGCACAAATTTAGCTTAGAAATACGGAGTAATCTAACAAAGAGTATAAACTTAATTTTGCAACCAAAGAAGTGCTATGTTGTGGTTAGGCGATTTCATCAAAAAAGACATCAGTTAGGAACAATTATTCCATATGTCTTACCATACGACATGCCAATTTTCTTTGATCTAGCACCTACCTAAGGATGTTTTGGGTGGTAGATCCAGGAATTTATATGATGGGGGCACTCTTATTGCAAATAGTAGTGTTGGAAATGAAAGCATCAAATTGTATTAACTAGCTCAAATTGTGTATTACATGGTTAAGTTCTATATATAGAAAATGAAAAACAAGTAACAACCAAAAATATCTTCCTAACAAACTAACAAACTGTGTAACTAATCAACTAATCAAATGCTAAATGGTTGATTACACCAACAAGTAGGGCAGGGTTCGGGGGTAGTGCTCCGATTTTTTTTATAAAGACAATTTTAAGGCCCTGTTTGGTATACGGAATTCAAACTATGGAATTGTAATTGAAAAATTCAATTCCAATTCTCGTGTTTGGTAGCACAAAAATTATGTGGATTTGAAATTGATAGTGCAAAAAATGAATTGGAATTGGTGAATTCAATTCTATGAAATTGAATTCCATGGAATTTTAATTCCAATTCAATTCCAATTCTATCAATTCCATGTACCAAACGGACCCTAAGGTTATAATTTCAAATTTTTAATTAGCTCTAATAACCATCAATCTTATAATTTCAACCTCTTAAGCGCAATAGTGGGGCTTTAAAATACTTTCTTATAGTTTGAGACTAGTCGTCAATATCATTTGGGTGCACACTACAAAAAAATGTAGATTTTGCACGGAAAAATTGGCACAGACCATGTTGTGACGAGAGAAATACAGAAAAATAATTTAGATAGCGTGTTTTTATTTGTTTGTTTGTTAACTTTGTTGTTGGCATACACATACACTTAACCGTGCCTAACATAGTGGGAATTGAATGTAATAGATGTTGAATCTATGTCTCAACTCTCAACCGTGTGAAAATTCCATTTTTTTTTTAAAAAATTGATCGTGTACTCGTTTTCGTGCAAAAATACACATGGGGAAAGATATCTGTAATTCCCTATTCCAAAATTTGAGCAGCGCCAAAGTGAAATTTGGCATGTCCCCGTGCCAACTGCAACCCCAAATAGTCTCATAAAGTTGGCCTCTGCTAATTGCGACTGCAACCCCACCACAAGCAGGGATTTCTCCCGGCCATGGCAGTGTTTATGGTGTTCGTCGAAGCCTTCCCTAATTTCGCTATCCAATTTCGGACGAAGCATACAAAAACAACAATCAATCAGGTAATGTTTAATTTGCTCTTATTTGGTAGGGTTCTAATATGGATGACGTCGTAGATAGATGAGGTCTGTACGTGTTCTAGAATTATTGAATTTATGATCTGTCTTCCCCTAATTCACGAATTACTAGAACTCATACAGATTCTAGAACGGAAGTTTTAAATCGTTGGACCAATTTTGATGCCTGATTGAACTGCTTCTATCATCTCTATCACGTTGCTTGGAAATTTTGAAAGTATTGTCAGGATATTAGTAGTTTCACTTATTATTGCCCTCTATGTGGTTGAGAAAAAAAGGTGGTAAAGTCACATTTGGGACTGTTTCTCTGACGATTCATTGTGATGCTTAGCTGAATATATCGAAGGAGAGAGAGCAACCGACATCGATACAAGCAGAAATGACATTGTTTCTTGTTTGCAACTTAATTGATTCATGTGGCTAGATCAGTTTGTGAAGGGTACTCTGCTCCCTAGTAATGTGGGTGTGAGAAGTGTCAAATGCATATGGCTGCTAACCCCTAATGAAATCCCTACCTTTTATGCGTTGCTTTCTCCCACTCCTACGCCCCCCCCCCCTTCTTTGATCACTCTGATTTTCTTCTTCTTCTACCATCGTCCCCCCACAACACCGGTGTAGCCCACACAATACCGTCTTCCCTTTCCGCACTCACCGTCATTGTTTCTTCTTCTTCTAAATCTTCTTCTTCTTCGGCACGGCCGCCGCCACTCCGCTGGGGCATTGCAATTCTCGCGTCCACCCTTCCATCTCTTCTCTAGATCTCAACGCCTTCAGTTTTGAGAGTTGTGTTGCTCATGAACAAGACTCGGTGGAGCAGTAATGGGTTTCTAAATGGAGGTCAAGCTTTGGTGTGTTCCGACGCTCTAAATGAAGTGGTAGAAAATGTTTATTTGCTTGGCATGTTTAGGTGCAATTGCCACCATCACTAATAAATTTCACCCCCACAATTGACCTAAAAATGATAGATGTTGAGTGTGACAAACGCTAATATAGAGACACACTGATTCCTCCCAAGGAAAATCTCCAATTTGAATCCCAAATTGATGGGTTAGTGTGAGCTTATCCATGCGGTTATGCACTCTTTGAACAATAATATGTTGTACGGAGTATGAAATAGCCTGCCTTTCGTACTTTAGTGGGTCTCCAAGATCTTTTCGATGACCTATGTTGAAGGCATATCTAGAATATGAAAATAATCTAGAAAAAAAGTTGTATTATATGGATGAAGAGTGCGTAGATTTGAAGTGCACAATGTTCGAAATGGCGTATTGCAATTTTGAGGCATTTTTTCCCCGTGGCGTGTTGAGGCCTAAGATATTATTAAAATTAAAGATAGAACATCATTAATAAATGAAGAGGAGATGAAGACCACCGAAGAGGGATGAAGTCGTAGATGAAGAACACAAAGATGAACGTGTAAGACCGAAGAGGAGACTGGAAATGTTAATAAACTTGGGTTCGGTAATTTAACATTTATAGTTTTCTAATTAAATAACTAATTTAAACATAATCTTAATTTTGTTTAAAACGGTGCACGCCTTCTTCCACCTCATGGCCTATGCCTCATTGTGTAGCCTTCTTGTGCCATAACTGAGAAACCCATATGGCCTATGGCTAGATCGTCACAAGGCGTCTTTCTTCGGAAACAGAAATGAGGTGGGCAATATAGTGTATTGTGCAATGCCATTTCAAACATTGGAAGGGCCTGACAATGAGGATAATTTGCATATGACTTCCAAATAATATCCTCTGGGAGCTACTTGGCGTGACGCATCTGGATAATATTTTGGACAAATTAGAGAGCCGGTATTAGTCAAGATCATTGACAAGTGGATTATACTTGAAGGAACGATTGTTTGGCCTCTAAATTGTAGAAGGAGCAAATTTTAATGGATATCTAAGCGAGTTCAACTGTATAACAACGATGTTGGAATCTATAGATTTAAAGATTGCAGATGAAGACAAGGTGTTACTTTTGTTGGCTTCTTTCCCTTCTTATTTTGACAACATCGTAACTACGAACTTGTTCCAAGAGACCCTTAAATTGATGAGGTGGTTGAGCATGATCTGGCGGGGCAATAACAGGTTTCCAAATGAAGGTCAAACTTTGGTTGTAAAACAGGTTGGTCGGTAATGAAGACGGTCGAAAAAGAAGTGGGATGTGTCCCAATGCTCCAAATCGAGTAGTAGGAAATTTTGATGTTACTGTTGCAATGAGGAAGATCATTTGAAGAGGGATTCTCCAAAGTAGAAAAAAGATAAGAACAGAAAATTCTTCATGACTGCAGTTGGAGAAGGCTCGAGCCTAGCAAACAAAAAGGACTTTGTTTTTGAAAACTGCAAGGAGTCCAGATAAATCACATTCGATATTAGATTGCGGTTGTTCGTTTCATATGTATTTACTCAAGGAGCAGTTTGACACATATCAAGCTTGTGATGAGGGTGCTGTCAAGAGGGCAAACAGTACACAAAGCAAGATTCCCGGGGTTGGAAGAGTACGTACTGCTTAATATATTATCAAGGGAGTTCTGGTTGGGTTCATGTTCTTGATATTTTTCGGAGTCATGTGCGCGTTATATACCAATGGAAATGCATATATGGCAATCCAAGGAACACACTTATGTATTAATGATATATTCATACAAATATTTAACTCATATGCCAAGTATCTGCCCAAAACTAGATAGTCATTTTTTATTTATTGATGAACACCGTAATTAAATTACTACTACGTACTCCGGTATTTCGTACTCCGTACGTATATATGTTATTGATCGACACGCATGGATATATAGTAATACGGGAGATGCATGCTTTTACCTCTTGTTGTTTTTAAAGTACTACTGGTATGTATATGTTTAGTTAATTATTTGGTGGGCTCAAACCAGAGTTGTGATTGGAGACGGTTAATCACTTTCTTGTCTAATTGAAATGCCTTAGCGAGGAGCTCTGGAAGAATGGGAGGATCTGCTGCAAACACAGAATTGGCTGTAGTGATGCCTCCTGGGTTCTGGCTCCCAAACCCGGCAAATACAGAGGCACGGCTCCCTCCCACGTTCAACTGGAAATGCACCAGCCCTTTCGGGAACACAAAAACGTCCCCGGGGTGAAGTGTCTTAGCGAACAGTTTGTTTCTGGAATCTACGAATCCGGCGTACAGCGTGCCCTCCACCACCACGATGACCTCTGTCCCCAAAGGGTGGGTGTGGGGTGGGGAGATTCCTCTTGGGGCAAAGTCAATGCGGCCCACCGCAACCCCGAGGGTGTTCAGCCCCGGTAGCTCCTCCACCCCGACCGGCGTCACCTTTGCACCCATCGGATTCGACGTGTTTCTTGGCATGTGTAGGCGCGCTGCGAAGAAGAAATCGTCTGCCGTGACCTTTGCTGGATCCTTGCATGTCTTCCCGTTCACAAAAACTGCATTTGTCATCAACCAACAAAAGGTTATATTTAGTGTACTGTCAGTCTGTCACATTATTTTAAGAGTTCAAGTTTTGCTTAGGAAAGTACCATTAGCCTTGGACCCATCGATAGCCACACAAAAATCCTGCAAATTGTTGGGATCTGATGCACCAGCAAATGGAGGAGAAGAAGATGAAGAAGAAGCTAAAGCTATAGCTACAATGGCGGCCATGAGCATAATAGGGCGGCTCATTTTTGGGTTAAGTTGTGTGTATGTTTAATAGGGAGTACTAATTAATAGTTGGAGATGGATGATTTTTTTTAACGGACTTGCAGGAATTATTATGAGAAGAAAATGTGAGATGGAGGAGATGACTATTTATACATTTTATAGTTAAGAAAATTTATGCAATTAAGACTTAAACATATCATTTTTTCTAAATAGGTCCGGTCATATTTACTCTAACGTTTGACAATGAAAAGTTCTAAATTAAATCTGATCACGCGATTATTTAAAAAAAATGAAATTTGAGAGAATGTGGTTGAGAGTAGGATTGTAAAAGAATCAAATATTGTTAAATATTATTCGTATTCGTTAGTTTGGAACTTTGGGATGACATTCATATTCGGTTCGAATATTTCTAGTGATTCGCACTCGATTCGTTTATCATACATAAAATATTCAATTTGTTTAATAATTTGGTTGTTTTAAAAATATTTGATTGGTTTAAAAATATATGTTTTGTTTAGATTTAAAATATCTTATTAAATTTAATTTATTTTTTTAAAATTGTAAATTATATTAAACTCTTTTTTCTAAAAACTTTTTGCATATAGTTTGGCATTAGCTAGTGAGAAAAAAATTATAAACTCAAAATTGACATATTGAAGTGGATTATAAACATACATTTGATTTTTTAAAAAAAATAGTGAATTACCTTTTTTATATTTACTAATTTGATCCTTCTTTTTAATATACGTAGTATTTGTTTAGGAACCAAATCAAATATGGATATATTTGTACTACCTCCGTTTCTCAAAAGAGTTCCTCTTTTGACTTTGGGGGAAAATAAGGAAGTGTTAAATTGTAGTTGACTTTCCAATTTTATCCTTGATGTGATGGGTAAAAGTAAGATGTGATAGTTTAGTTGTTAGTGAAAAAGTATGATGTGATAGGTAGGGTATGAAAAAGTAGAGGTAAAAGTGGTTTTTTAATAGAAAGAGGAAGTGTTTTAAGAAAAACAAAAAAATGAAAGAGAAAGGATTTTAAGAAACGGAGGGAGTATTTGTTAACGTAACGAATAACAAATACTATTTGTATTTGGATTTGAATTTTTTTTTTGAATACAAACCGCCACAAACAAATACGAATCACGATTTAAATCCAAATTATTATTCATTTATAACCCTAATTCAAAGTTATGCATGTACTTGAAAAAAGGATCCAAACTTATTTTATTTGGAATATATATATATATATATATATATATATATATATATTAAAAACTAAATGTAGAATCATTTTTTGTGAATCTTGCTTTCATTTGGACCAACTACCGAAAAATCGAATGAAGTCTTACACAATTTGGCATTCATTGAAAACGTTTCTCGAAAAAAATTGTACTATGAATCTATTAATCTATGATAGATCACAGGGATAACATTGGAAATTCACTGGCTATGTCATTTTAGGAGAACGCCCAATGCACATATTATCACATGGTTAGCCAATTACATCAACGAAATAAATTTATTTGAATTTGCTAAAATTGGTGCAGATTTATTTATTACGACAGGACTGGTATACATATGTTGTCCCATCACGCACTTATTTAATTTGGTGTTGTTTTGGACTTGGGACCGAATCAAAAAAGAAAAATGCTAGGGTACACCAAATGTGTACCCTATTTATCTCTCACCCTCTCTTTGTCCACAAAAAAAGGCAAGAAATTCAAAAAAAAATGAATAAATAAAAATAAAATAAAAATGGGTGGTGGAGAAGGGGGTGGTGTACCAATGGTGGAGACCTCATAAAGTTGAAGGACTATTTATGGACTTTTGAAACTTAAAGGATCAATCGTGCACAACGGATAAAGTTGAAGGACCAATGGTGGATTTTAGCCTATTTTTAAAACACCAATGTTAGAGTTTATCCCACATCGGAAGTTGAATAGAAAAGTTATCGGTATATAAGTTCTTGATTTGAACTAAGTAATCGATTAGATTCAATCTTTTAATGTGGTTCAATCCAAGTGTCTTATTGCCCCAATCCAGTTATCCATACCCCATCCTAAATTCTATCATGGTATCGGAGCAGGTTTTGGCCCACCTTGTTTGTCAAGGTGTCCGTCTAGACGTTCATTCCTAGCGGCCCGTTTGTCTTTAGCCCAGTTGTCCGTATGAAGTGTGTACCCAACGGCCTGTGGCCAGTTTAACATGATTGATCGTCTGGAAGTCCATACCCAGCGGCTCGTGGTCTTTAGGTGTTGGCGCTCAAAAAAAAAGTCAAGGGATTGGGAGTTCATTTGCAAGTGGTCAACCGGTTAGATTCAAAATGGCCCGGTTGTCCACTTGAGGGGGAGTGTTAGAGCTTATCCCACATCGGAAGTTGAATAGAAAAGTTATCGGTATATAAGTTCTTGAGTTGAACTAAGTAATCGATTGGATTCAATCTTTTAATGTGGTTCAACCCAAGTGTCTTATTGCCCCAATCCAGTTATCCATACCTCATCCTAAATTCTATCCACCAAACAAAAGTCTGTGATTAATATCAAACGAAACCAATAACAGAGATGTCATCAACCATTTACCTTAAATAGCGACCCTTTTCTGATTGAGAAGTTATATCATAAACTTTAGGTTCACATGAACCTTCTCACACATTTATTTCTATTTTTAAAAAAAAATAATAAAAATAATCATCTCAATAGTAAGCAATAAAGTGCTTATTTGGCTTATACGAAGGTTCCATGATACTTAGGTCCATGCAAGAGTTTTGGTATTTCTTTGATTTAGTGAATTTGTTGGTTCAAGTTCAATTCCTTTTTATAAATTGCCAAAACTCTTTTTTTCTTTCAAAAAAATATACGGAATACTCCGTAATTGTCTTCTTTCATCCCGACTTTACATCGTACTCCGATCTTAATATTTCTCTAGACCACTGTAAAAATAATTAAGGCCTTTGAGTCTTTGACGTTCCAATTTGTCATTTGAGTTTATTTTTTCACATACGAGGTTTTAAAAATATTTAGCCATCCTTTGGTTGTTCTTTTTTTATAACTATTTTAATTCTGTCCATTCTAATCCTATCACTTTGGTTACATTCGTCTCCCACGGATGTTTCCATTAACCTTTTTTTTATTTTTCTTCCGTCCCATGTTGAACAGGAAATGGACGAGCCCTTTCGGGACGACGAAAACGTCCCCCGGGTTGAGCGTCTTCGCGAAGAGTCTGTTCTTGGAGTCGACGAATCCGGCGTAGAGGACACCGTCCGCCACCGCGATGACCTCCGCGGCGCGGGGGTGGGTGTGGGGCGGCGAGCCTCCGTTAGCGGCGAAATCGACGCGGCCTATCGAAACCCCGAGGGCGTTCAGTCTCGGGAGTTGTTCCACCGTCACCGGCGTCACCGTTGAGCCGAGCGGGTTCGACGTGTTTCGTGGGGTCACTAGGCGGGCTTCCAAGAAGAAGTCATCCGCCGTCACTTCCGCTGGATTCTTGCACGTCTTCCCGTTCACGAAAACTGCAATGTCCAACGAGGGAAAATAAAAAGAAATTGTTACGAGTTCTACGTTTGAAAAGAGTCGTGTTTAATACATAAGGGTCGTCATGTTGATCCCCTACGTACGCCGCATGTACGTACGTACCATCAGCTTTGGAGACATGGAGAGCCACACAAAAATCCTGCAAATTGTTGGGATCTGATGCACCAGCAAATGGAGAAGAAGAAGATGAGGAAGAAGAAGCTATAGCTATAATAATGGCGGCGGCCACGGCCATAATACGGCGGTCCATGTTTTTATAGGTTGTGTGTGTGTGTGTGTGTTTAATAGGGAGTACTAATAAGAGAGAGAGATCAGAGATGGGTGATTTTTTTAAGAAGACTTGTTTAAATTATGAGAAGAAGACCCCTCGAATGACTATTTATACAGACCTTTATCTTTTAAAAACTAGGGAGTATATTGTTCTTTTTAATAAATAAATAAAAAAGTACTCTGTAGATGTGTAACGCTATACCCCATATTTAAAAAAATTTATCCTCTTTGTCTTAATTTAAATTCTAAGTTTATTAATCACATAGTAAATTCGAATCATTTTTTTAGTTTATTTTGATAACTCATTTCATAAAATAATACACTCATATCATCTTCTTTATTTTTAAAAATTTTGGTGTAATTTTTAAATTTTTAATTTTAAAAAAAAATTAAATATGTTTGCTTAAGGAAGTTGAAAGATAAAATAAAAGAAATACAGAGTAAATAAATGATTTTTGTTGTTTGGTTAGAAAGAGGAAAAAAAGAAAAATAAAAAGAAAAAATGAGAAGGCGAAACATAAAATAAGAGACATTTAAATTTCTTTCTTTTTGGTGAGAAAAATAGAGAAAAAACTATTTTTTTTCTTTTTCTTTCAAATTTATAAAAAAAAAAAAGGAGAGCACAACTCCTTTAGAAGCTAAGTTCTGTTCTAAGTCATCAGTTGTTGGCCAATCTCATTCTCACCTCACCTCCTTCCTATGCACCGACTCCTTTCAGTTTCTGACCTACCTTCAAGCGACACATTTCATTATTCAAATATAAAATGAGGATACAGAGATCCACAGAGCCATATCCGAGTCCTCCGGAACCACCATGGGAACTGCAGCAAAGATTTTCAGGAGATCAATCTTCACCCTTGTGCAGAACTTTCAATACTTTACCACAACAGCAGCATTTCTTGCCTTCCCATATGCAGCCTCGGTTCTCGTGTTCCAGTCGTACATTCCCTTGTCATCTTTGCTGGGGATTATCCATACCCGAATTCGCACTCTCTTTGACGCAGCAGGGTTCCCTTCTTCCTCTGAATTCTCTGCAATTCTCAGCGCGAAGCTCTCTCAGACCGTTGCCATTTCTTTTCTTGCATTGCCTTTGACACTCTCTTCTTTTCTCTTAAGCAAAGCCTCTGTTATCCGATCTCTGCTGGGCAATCAAGAATTGCCCGTTGAAAGAATGTACAGTTCCCTCCTCCTGACCCAACTCTGCAACTCTCTGCTGGTCCTTTCTGCAAATGCAGCTTGCTTTTTTCTGCTGTTAATTGCCTTCAATCTTTCTTCTCCAAGATTCGAGCTTTTTGTTTCGGTTGTGGGAGCTCTGTTTTGCTCCATTGTTCTTGCACATGCTTTCATCATCTGCAATCTTGCATTGGTTATATCTGGGACAGAGACAACAGGAGGCTTTATGTCCATCCTCAAAGCATGTGTTCTGATCAAGGGAAGAACCACTACTGCTCTGTTGTTAGCCGTTCCTATTAACATGGCCTTGGCTGCAGTTGAAGCTCTGTTCCAATACAGAGTTGTGAGGGTTCATCATCTTCATGCAGAATCTGGGATTTCTTCCGTGGCCTTGGAAGGGATGTTCATTGCATATATGTATGCAACGCTTCTGGTTCTTGACACCATTCTTGCCTGCTTCTTCCTCAGAAACTGCCAAGAAGTTTGTCATATAGGCCATGACAGAAGATTGGCTTCCCAAATTGACATTGATCAGCAAGCTTTAAGGAGAGTAAAGATTGTTGAAGATCACCCCTAATACCTTTGTAATTTCGGGGTGGTTGGTTGGGTGGGGGGCTCATTTATTCACAAACATCCAATCTGAAACAGTTATGAAGTTGGTTCTAAGGTGGAATTATCCCCCCTGATCCCACCCCATATGTAAATTATACCACAATACAAGAAAATTGAACAGCAGTGACACTAAACAAAGGTCCAAACAGGAAGAGTTGTCCACTAATTTTCAAATTATTTCTTTTCTTTTGTCTACACAGGGGCTCTTTAAATAGTTACCTCCATCAAGATCTCATTTCTATTCATAGACAAGGGTATCGCATTTCGCAAGTGAACACTGTTGTAGCAGTCTCAATGTAAAGTGTGTACACTTTCAATCTTACAATTTTGTCAATCTATGCTCTTTGAGAGTCTTCACTCAACTAAATCTATACAGTGATAATGAAATGTCAAGTGAAAAAATAGAAAAGTTACTTTTTCCTGAAGATGATGAAAAAGAATAAAGCACAACCAGCTCCTGCAGAACTTCTCATAGTAAGCTTGTGGAGATATATGGTCATCAGCAAGTGTCACTTCTATCCGCGGATGCATGTCATTAATCGCCACCTTCTGGGATTCACCAACTTTGTAATGTCTGATACATAGCCAAGGCTTCCCTTCTCATGCTAACATGATCATGCAACTACTTCCCATTTCTCCTAACTGAAAGTACCAATTAATGGTACGGAATTAAACGGTTTTAGAGAGAATTCTGACTAAAGTTTTCGATGGGAGTAAAAAAAGAATGCAATGCAACAATTTCACTTACCTTTCCGGAACCATGATCTGTGAACAGCTTGCCGGATATGACGCTCGTGTTTTTTCAACAGCTCATCTACTCTGTGCGTTTGAGATAGCAAAGGCCCTGAAAAGTCAACCTTATCGCCATGATCATGAACCTGTTCAGAGAAAATCCAGAACAAAACAAAAATCAATACAATACAATGCTAGGATTACAGATTTTCAAAAAAATTGATATCGACATAAATTCTTTGACAAAACTTATGGTACTGGAAATAAAAGTAGAACTGGTGCAAGATTACTTTTTGGAACAATTTTTTCATGAGACACACTTTCAAACAGTTAGTGTTATAGTTGAAATAACAGCTTTGACTCACTGCATTCAATCTCTTGAGAGCCATTTCTTCTTTCAGGTAGAGGGCTAGTGAAAGTTCTTGGGATTGATAGCCTCTATCGGAAGCATCAAAAGATTCTGGTCGTCCTGATAAACTCCATTGTTCAAGCGCTGTGCGTTTTGCATTTTCATAGGAATTCTGGTCCTTGGAATCAGTGCGACTTCCACCATTTCTGAGTTCCCAGTTGTCTCGCCTTCTGGATTCCAAGCTATCACTCCTTGGTGGCAATAAAGCGACGGAAGGTTCAAATATTTTTGAACTAGACCTACTACTTGGTGATCTCACTGATGAATCCTTGGACCTTCTTTTTGCCCATGAGAAGCCGCTTGATTCAGATAGCTGCAATGGGCCTGAAAATGGGATGTCAGCTTCAGACGCATTCTTTGCAAGAGATACTTCTTCCATGACATCAATCAAAGGCTGTGGGCCTTTGCCACCTTCTCCCTCTCTGTACTTACACACACTTCTGTGTCTACTTCTATCAACACCATGAGTTGGAGCAGATAACTTCTGCATACATCAAAAGCTGTTAGGTTCTCAACTTCTCATAAAAGATTAATACCCAAAACCAATATTCCTATGATCACATAACTAATAAAGAGCATACCGATAAACCTGTGTATAGTATGAAAGAGAAGAAAGTTCACCAATAAATTAAGAGGATTTCTCAGTGAGGAGAAGGACATTTCTTTTTTATGAATCTAACTTAAATCAAACCTGAAGGACCAGAAATTATGTCAAATCTACATCCTCGCCCGCCGTTCAATTGAATCACAGGCCATAATGCAGGTTTGACACAAATTCTGGTCCTTCATGTTCACTTGAAATTAAAATGAGAAACAAAAAAGCATCTTTCTTCTTGCACCCGAAGCTTCTTTCTTCTCTTTCAAACTGTTTCTGGGTGTTTATCAAGCATTGTTCTTATGTGTCTTTTCTGTGATCCCTCTCTACTCTTTCATATTAGTCCTGGCCACCCCTGGGTTTATATCACAAAAACAGACAAATAGATGCACACACACATACCTCCTCATGTGCCAGTTTATTGATTCCATTTTGTTTTCTGGTAGGCTTTCTTGTGGTTTCTGGACCACGTGCTCTCCCACTATGCCTCTTTCTGGAATTCCTCAAACAAATTAGCTCAACTTCAAAAATATGAAAATATGTACTGCAGTATAAGAAAAGTCGTCTCTGATACTAACTGAAACTGAGCCTTACCTTCTTACTTCATCACGATGTTTAGCATCAATTTCTTTGCACGGTGGATACTTGGGCAAGCTTGAAGGATCACAAGCACGGGGCTTTGTCATGAAATACTATATAAAGCAAACAAATAGGTGCATAAAACTACTGCAGACTGCAGGAAAATTGAATGGGAAAAAAAGTCAAACAAGATTTTGGGTCAATACCTCAGATCCAAGCGCAGAAGAGGCAGTCCCACGGTTATTGGGTTCCACCATAAGAAGAGATTCGATCAAAGAGACAGCTGCCTTTGGTAGATCACTAAAAGTCTCCCAAAGACAGCTTTCGTAAGGATGTTGTGGCTTAAACAGAGTTGCATGGGGAAGTTTAGACTTCTTCCAATAGTCATCTGGAGGAGATCCACAAAGTTTGAAAATTTTGTGCAGCTGTTCAACCTGCATTATGAACAATTTTTTATTGTATGAAACAAAAATGACAAAGGTCACTGAACTACTAAAGGTAAAAAAAAAAAAAAAAAAAATTACTCCTTACCTCAGTTCTTCCTTGAAGAATTGGTTTACCAGTGAGAAATTCACCAAATACACATCCAACACTCCAGATGTCCACAGAAGCTCCATAATCTGTGGAACCTAATAAAAGCTCAGGAGGACGATACCATAAAGTGACAACTCGACTGGTTAATGGATGCCTGCGGGTGGGATAACAGTAGTTAGCCAACCCAAAATCACCAATCTTTAAGATGCCTTCATTGTTTACCAAAAGATTGGCTCCTTTGATATCCCGATGCATCACACCCCGGGAATGACAATGCTCAAGTCCAGATAACAACTGTTTCATGTAGCATTTTACCTGCAGCAAGAGTGAACTAGGCCTGGATCATCAACAAACAAAGCTTACAGTTTTATGTCAAAACTCAAGATTTTCACATTAAGCAAACCTGTGATTCGGTGAAGTTGACATCAGGGCAAGCCAAGAGTCCTGAAACATCATGCTCCATGTACTCAAAGACAAGATATATGCTACATGATAATCGCGAAGTGATTATGCCCTCCAATTTGATGATGTTTGGGTGGTCAAGCTTGCGAAGAATCATGATCTCTCTGGCCATAAACCGAACACTCTCTGGTTCAAAGTTATCGAACCGCACCTTCTTCAGTGCAACTATCCTCCCACTTTCTAGATCACGAGCCCGGAATACTGTGCTATATGTACCTTGACCAATCTGCCCGGAAACATCAATTGTCAAATGAGCCAAAGCATTCGAGTCCAACAAGAATCATACAATATTTACTACAAAGAAAGACCTTGATGAACATTTCTGCCTCTCATATGGGCTAATAAACCTTGTGAGTCCACACCTAAAGGCAGTGCCTTTTTAATCTCTCTCTCTCTCTCGATCTCTCACTAAAATAGCATTTCCAGCAGCACCAAATGGTCAAAGAATGATGAAAGCCATCAGACAGTTTCAAGAATTCATTATCCGTCTTAAAATTTTTGCAATGATAGATGAACTGATAGTCATTGATTAACTGTCACAAGCTAAAATTAGTTGGAAATGATTACTAAGGTGAAATGTAGGCCTTTCAGAGCGAACCTTTTCGAGCTTCTCGAATGACTCTGTTCGGAGCGGCACCCAGCCTTGAATAGCTTCCCCTGCAACCGCACTGAGCCATGCCGGCCAGCCGGCGGCGACTTGCTCTCCCTCCACATACTTGTGCAAATTCCCGAGCCTGAAGCTCACGGACTCGCTCCCGTACCCGATCGAACTCGCCCTCCCAGACTCGGCCGCGAACTCGCACCCCGCGCTCAAGACCGAGTCAGCCCTCCTCTTCACCTTCTTCAAATCAAAATCCAACCCCAGGCCGCTACTCTCCACCCGCGTCCGACCCGACCCGAATTCGTCACGGAAAACTCCGGAATGGTCAACCGCCGGAGTAACCGACACCGCCTGCTTCGACGCCACGCAGCCCATGAGGCATGAGACGCGTCCGCCTGCCCAAAAGCCGTCAAATTGGGTTCCGGGCCGTGCCAAGATCCGCCCAAATCGGGTTTCTCCCGAATCTTGGTAGCTCTCAGGACCTCGGGTCTGAAGAAGAGATGATCATCCGGCTATGGCGGGCGTAGAGATTACTGTGTAATGATAAAACTCCGTAATATAATGATAGGAGAAATCAAGAACGGCTTCACAGTGGAGAGCCACTTCGCTTTATTACACAGTGTGTCTCGGCCCTTTTCCTGCGGCAATTGCGGAAGATGGAGGCCAAAGGGCAGCTCCGGAGTTCATTTTTGGTTTCGTATTCCCAGTCGAAATTAGCGCAATTATCGGGGAAGACCATAAAGGGCCCTACTAGTTTTCTTTACATTTATAAAAAAAATGAAAAATATAAATAAAAGCATTTCTCACATTTCAAAGAAAAAAAAGAAATTTTCTTTAGCAAATAATGACACAAAAAAAAGGACTCCGTATTGAACGTCTAAAAGAATTATCTTTAGTAAACTCAAAAAACTTTGTCCACCATTTTTATATTTAACGTCAAAAAAATATTTTCACGTGTTTTATTTTTGGGTTAATAATGAATGCTACCTCTCGTGAGTGGTGTAGGACTTTAAAAAAAATTTATTTAAACAATTTTTTCGTTATAAAATGTGAAAGCTAGACGAATAGAGTTTTTTGAGAGAAATAGAAATTGTTTAATATATGAAGTATGAGATTTTTATTTATCCACCATCCCAAATTAAATCTCATTTTTAGAATAATTATGTTGATTGATTTATTTTGTTTCTCTATCTCCATAATTAATAATCATATAA